TGAATTCTGGGTCACTGAGGACCTGTACAGCCGCCCAGTCTCCCAGGCACCCGCCCAGACTGCCTCTGGCAGGTGGGACCCCAGCTGCAGGTGCTGGCGGTGGGGAGAGCGGAAGAGAGCCGGGACTTTCCACCCTGAAATATTCAGCAGGTCGCGGTGCCAGCTGGGGAGCGGCCCAGCCCCGGGGCCCACCCAGGCTGCTGCAGGCACAGGTGGACCAGTCCGACCGCAGCAGAGGCCTCCGGCACAGCGGCCTCGTCTGCAGCTCCCAGCCTGGGCCTCGCGCCCTGTCCCTGGGCTCCTCCATGACCACCTGACACGGCACGACCCTACGGCCACCAGACAGTGTCTGCACCAGGACCGCACTGTTTCCTCACGACTGCGGGCCTCAAGTTCCCCTCTCCTGAAAGGAGACAGGAAGGACAGCGCAACGATCAGGGTGGAGAGTGGGCTGCCAGGCCGGAGATCAGTGCGCAGTGCACTGAGTGCACGCAGAGTCTGCACACACTCGCAGTGTGCAAATGCCGTGTGTTTGCTCGCACGAATGTGTGCGAAGGCAGGGTGGGGCACTAGAAGCAGAGTTAATAACTGCAGGCAGGAGACCCAACTCCCAGCCCAGGGGAAGGAAACAGACCTCTCTCCCCTCAGGACGTCTTCCCCAAGCTCCTTCCTCCCCAGCGGCTCTTTCCAGGCATCCGAATGACTCTTCCTCCCCGACCGCACTGCTGTCCCTCACTCACAAGCCACGGACTTCCCTTCCGGCTTCCTCTCCATCATGCCTCAGCCCTGGCCCCCTCTGAGAAGCTCTCCCAGGCCACCTTCCCCTCTCTCTCACCTGGTGGGTGCCCTCCTGCCTGTTCGGAGCTCCTCTACTGCCCCTGCCAGAGGGCAGGGCGGATGACCTCGTGAGAGGGACCCCTGCGGATCTGCTGAGGGCATTGGCAGTGAAGAGCACCAGTCAGCCAGGCAGGCGGCCAGCCCGAGAGACTGGAGCAGAAGTCCAAAGATCTGCACCCCAGACCCCGGCCCCTCTGCTCCCCTGGACCTAACCCGTCCACTTGGCTCGTCCAGTTGTGCCTGAACTGGCTCTCAGGATGAGCTCTGTGACTGTGCTCAGAAAACGGGAAACGGCAAGAATTCAGTCCTGGGCGCTGCCCATGACCACAGTTGTTCTGTCCTCCTGGTCAGAGGCCAAGAGCAGTGCTCTCCTCAGGGGCTGGCAGGGAGGCCACAGGAGGGATTATTTTTCTTTTTCTCAGTCAGTCCTGGGCATTGAACCCAGGGCCTTCACATTAAGCTACATCCCCAGTGCTTTTTAGCTTTTTAAATTTTAAGACAGGGTCTCACTAAGTCATCCAGGCTGGGCTCTATCCTCCTGCCTCAGCCTACTAGAGTGTAGGACATGCACCATCATACCTGGCTGGGATAGGGCTTTTCTGAGGGCACTGGGCCTACATCCCATAATGCACTGCTCTGCTCCAGCTGTGAGACCATCAGACCCCAGTCCATTGACCAGCAGGTCTCAGAAACCGGGATAAAGTTCAGTTAGTGGAGTTCAGCCACCTCAGGAGGGGAAAGTGAGGCCCGAGGAGGTAAAGAAGCTCCTCCTCACACTTCACGGCCAGCAGCTCTGGGGCTGGAGCAGGCGAAGTGGTTCCAAGCCAGATGTCCCTCAGTTTTACTGTCCCTTTCAATGCCACCTGCTGACCACACCCCTTCTGTGAGGCCAGCAAGGCCCACCCTGAGACAGACCCTGACTCAGAGGGATTTCGGCTCTGTGCTTCGATTCCCTGCAGAGTCACAGACAGCCTGAGAGAGTGGCAGGGTTTTCCAAGCCGGGAATTCAACCAAAGTGGGTGTGCCAGGGACAGTCCCAGTCCGAAGCAGTGAAGGCCCTCTACGGCTTTCTTGCCTGCTCAGCACCCACTTCCTCTCTAGGAACCACTTCTGGCTCCGGCGAGACCACCTCCATCTCCTAGCTCCAAGGAAGGGCGTGTTCCTCAGACCCAGCCAAGGAGGACAAAATGCCGATTTCCCGTGGAACAGCTACAGGTGTCACGCGCTCTGTTTTCCCTGGTCTGCTCTGACAGGAATGGATGCCTGGAGCTACTATTGACTGGTGTGCCAGGGAAAGAACATACCCAAGACGGAGCCATCCAGAGGGAGCTCATTCAGAGAGACAGAAAACGACTATCTGGGTCCCTGGATCCAGCCAGATCTGAAGTCCTGTACTTCCCAGTCATGTGAGCAGTGTGCATCCTCTTCTGCTCGGCATATTGCAGAGTCATTGGTGACCCAGTGAAGAGGACCTGAGACCCTCTCCTGACCCTTCAGGCCGAAGGTGTCGAGGTCTCAGTGGGTGTAGGCCCTGAGCCTAGAGGATCCCGGGCCCCGGGAAGGCAGAACACAGGCTTAGGAGAGGGAGGCCCCTTACCTGTGCTGGTTTGGCCATGGTCTCGGGTTCTGCAGCAGAAGCCCCTGGGGAGAAGACAGAGTCCATGAGTTTCCGCCTCACTCTGCCCCTGCCCATTCCTTCCCTCCCACCATTCCAGCTGCCTGCAGCCCTCGGGCTCAAGGCCAGGTGCACTGTTTGAGAGGACACTGGGGAGAGGGAGGTGTCTGGGGAGCAGCGCTGAGCTGGAGCGGGACCCTCTTCGACCTGCAGGACTTTCCAGGCGTGCCTGCCCTCCGTCCCACCAGGCTGGGCTTTGCGTTTGTGTGGAGGAGACACAGGGCTCCCAGCCACGCCTCTGAGGGCTGCGATCCCAGCGTACTACGACCAGTGCTCCCCCACCTACTCCTCACAGACCCTGCTCGGCAGAGAACACGGCGGCGGGTAAAAAAGATTCAAAGCCCAGGGTGGCAGTGCACACCTGCAATCCCAGCACTCTGGGATTTGCTAAGCTGAGGCAGGCAGATCACAAGTCTGAGCCCAGTCCGGGCAACTTAGCGATGTAGCAAGACCCTGTCTCCAAATAAAAAGTGAAAAAGGAGATGATCACCGAGTGCACATATCAGGCTATGAAAGGAAGAGAGAGAAAAACAAAGCTCGATCAGGACAGCACAGTGCCAGGTGCAGCGGAGGGGGCCACAGGGCAGGCAAGGAGGATGGCAGAGGGCCACAGGGACCAGCATTTTCCTGAGGCGTGGTGCTCTCTAGTGCGCACGGGCAGGGAATGGGACAAGGGCGTCTGGAGAGTTTCCAGGACAGGGACGGGGGCACTGTGGGTGACAGAGGCGACACGTGGGAAAGAGAAAGCAGGGTGGGTGTGGGGCTGGGGGGGGTCACTCGGCATGAAGGCGAAAGATGAAAGTTAAATGGCCCTGGCAGGGAGAGAAGAGAAACAGGGCTGCCGCGTGGGAGTTTCCGCAAGCCTGTGAGCTGATCTCTTTTTAAACAAGCCTGTGTGTTGCTTTTCCTTTCTCTCAAAGCTCTGCAGATTGAACCCAGGGAGCACTGAGCTGCATCTCCAGCACTTTTTATATTTTACTTTGAAACAGGGACTCGCTAAGCTGCCCAGGCTGGTCTCCAATTTAAAATCCTCCTGCTTCTGCCTCCTGAGTAGCTGGGACTGCCGGATGAGTCATCGTGCCCGATTGCATGTTGCTTTTGAAAAGTAAAAACAGCAAACCCAACCCACGTGGAGCCTAACTGAGGGGCAGTGGGGGACCCTGGTCCCAGCTCGGGGTTCCCAGTTCTCCCCATTCCCCGCCACACTGAAAGAGGACCCCGGAGACAGCAGCCCTGCCACTCTCTGCGTTGCGCTCTGCCCCTGGGGTCACAGGGCATGGTGTGACATCGCGACAGACTGTAGATTTAGAGGCAGACAGACCTGGGCTCGAAGGCTTGCTTTGTCACTTCTTAGCTGTGTGACCAAGGGCCCACTGCTCCCTTGGACTTCAAGGTTATCTCAAGCAAAGCCAGGCCTTTCCCCTTCCCTGTCCTTGCCTCATAGGGGTAGGGCTGCTGGAGGATGAGCTGTCACCGCCCCTCCTAGACAGGTCTCTTCTGGCCAAATGGCCCCTGGGGGCGCTGAGGACAGGCTTTGCCGAGTTTGCCTCGTGTCCCCGCTACCTGAATACAAGTCCAGGTCCACGGAGCGCGGGTAGCAGAGGACAGGCCAGCCCTCAGTGCAGCTGGGCTCAGCTCAGCTCAGAGAAACCCTGCCGTTGCCCTGGTGACCAGGGGCCCCTGGTACACATGTGCAGCTGTCCCCAGGAAATGGAAACCACACCCCTGACAGTGTGTGTGCTGGGGGACAGACATCAAACTCACAAATGGGCTGGGAGCCGGCTCCGGATTCCTCAGGCCTGGGGGCCAGCGGGGGCAGAGGGGCGGGAACCCCAGGGACAGCAGAGAGATGGGAATGGATTGAGGCCCCAGAAGGCAGCTGATGCGGGGCGCAAGGCCTGAGGCCACACTGGCACCCTCTGAGTTCTCCTCTGGCCGTGCTGCTGGAAACTTCAGCTGCTGGCCGACACCCAGGCCCATCTGGACGAGAGCCCCTTTCCGAGAAGACACGGCTGAAAGGAGGGGCCTCTAGCCCTTGGGAAACTGGGCTCAGGTCTGGGCACAGCTTCTGAGCACCTGACACCCGTGGCTTCATCTCAGCTCACTGCAGATCCGTCCGGGGTACAGTCCCGGAGCACAGGGCTGTGCGGCCACCCACGCCACCCCTGTAGCCTGCAGCCTTGGTTTCCTTCCTGCCCTTGGGACTCAGGCCCAACTCCAGGACAAGCAGGTCCCCACTGTCTTCCCCGGGGTCTCCCCGTCACACAAAGGCACCAGCCTGGATGCACAAGGCTCCCTGCTGTGTGGTTTTGTGAGTTGCTTAGACTGCATCTCTGCATCGGTTCAGTGATAAACCCCGGCCTCGCAGTCAAGGTCCCTGAGTTCAAATCCTGACGTTGCCTGGCTCAGGACCTTGGGCGAGTTACACAACTTGTCCCTGCCTCAGTTTCTTGACTTCTCTCGAAATTACAATCTTGGAACATTTTTGCAGGTTACTGGAAAATCATGAAAAAAGAAATTCACCCAGGTTTCTGTGGACAGTAAAATATCCCACCCGAATGCATGTATTTCTTTGGCATGTTCTGAGTTAGTTTTTCAGAGAAATTGCAGACCTCTGCAGACACAAGACAGGCTGCACAAATCCATCCTTTTGCAGAAAAGAAGGAGGAGGAGGGGAGAGGGAGGCGGCGTAAGAGGAGGAGGCAACAGCAAAAGCAGCAGCCGGAATCTACTGGCAGCAGTGAACAGTGGACGCAGGCGTTTTCACCAGAGGGGTGATTTCAGAGTAGGGTTTTGCTTTATTCTGGTGATGGGATTGGACCCAGAGTCAGCTACATCCCCAGTCCTTTTTATTTTGGAACAGGGTCTTCCTAAGTCTTCAGACTGCCCAGGCTGGGCTTGAATTTTCCACCCTTCCGCCTCAGCCTCCAGGCGGGCTGGGTCACAGGTGACACCACCACGCCCAGCTGGAGAGGCCTTTCCTAGAGGAAGGCTTGGGTTGAACACCGGCCCAGACAGAGAGGACCACAGCTGTGGTTATCTGGAGACCTCATCTGCAGATCAGGACCACCCTTGCCCACTGGGCCCCCAGCCCTTGGGGGCTGCGCCACCGGCCAGCCCCTCAGGAGCTCAGGCCCTGTCCCTGTCTGCTCTGCAGAGGTTCTCGCATCTTGGTGAAATCTGTGCCTGGCTCTGAGCTTCTGCATGTAAAGGTGCATGCTGACCTCTGTCAACCTGCATGACGTCAGCTCATCACACAGTTACAGGCACTGTAGGGGCAGTGTGCATTCCAAGCTGCCCGATCCCGCTGTGCCTCAGGAGTCACGCCTTTCGTGGTAACCTTTACGCCAGCTCTCTTTGCTCAGTTTTCCCTCAGCCCATCTCCCACACACCCACAATGCCGTTCTCCCCAACCCTCCCCACCATGCCCCCCACCAGTGTTTTTTTTTTTTTTTTTTTTTT